CACGGCCACTCAAGCCAGGACCTACGACGTCATGAAGGAGGTTATTTTTTGCTTGTTTCTGTAATTCTATTTTGCCTATAAGTTTTAAAATAAAGCGAAATTTGAGAAACGGAAAGTTTCATTAAGGTACTACGCTCAGTGCGCTCTGGTTCGGTGCAAATTAAAAAGCAGTCAAAAAGGTGTTGCAGGACCCCTTTAAAATCTTTCTGAAAGTGCTTCATTAAGTGGTTTTCGATGGCACTCAAGAAGTTTTTGATGGGAACTATATGTCTATTTTCACCAATTAAAAAGTTAATGAGTCATTTGAAATTAATTAGCGAGCTAAGTAGTATTTCTCGCGCATTTCCTGACGTCCACCACCACGAGTAACGCGGTCCTGAGAAATTTATCTTTTTACCTTGAATACACTAATTTTAGGAATTTTCGTCACTTTTACTTGAAACACTCTGTATATATATAGTAATGAAGTCGCATTGCGAAGCAGTGTTGGTGTTCTAAAGCCTTTTGTTAACGCTGAAAATTGGACAAGTTAGCAAGGCATCATTACGAACCAACGCACAGGTCGACAGTCAGTCAAAAATTCAAGCACACAAAAAATACACTCACGCAACGCTGAACTGTCAATTCATAATCTGTATTTAGTCAAACTTCCTCCTCATCGACCCTTAGAAATAGGATGCCAGCCCAACAACCAAGAGAAAGGAAAAGTGAAAGACACGGGAAACGAAAAGGAAAGAGACAAGGAAAAGGAGAGAAGACTAGGAATAGGAAAATGGAAGACAAAGAATAAAATATGATAGCAGTAATAGCACTGCAGATATCAGGAGTGACAGAAATTAATAACCAAAATATGTAAACCAGGTGACATCATGGCCTACTGTAGGAAGGTTAAGGACAAAGTGCTGACGCACCGGGCATCCCGTCGTGCAATGTTCTGCGGTTCTATTATTTTACGGGTGAGCTGGTTTTCAGTTTTGCCTAACACAGCATAGTTGTACAATCGCGCAGAACAGCCACAATCCCTACATTGAAAACCTAAGAGACCAGAGTTGGAATTGGCAATGATGTTGTTGTGCTCACGCAGGCGGTCATTTAAACGCCGTCCAGTATGTACAAAGTACACTTTTCCACTGGAAAAACGTATATGGGGCTCTGCAGTGTTATTATTATTATTAATATGCTTTCTTTTTTTTATGTTCTATTTTACTTTTCCTAGTCTTTTTTTCATTTTTCTTGTCTTTTACTTTTCTTCTGTTTTCCTTGCCTTTGACTTTTTTTATCTTGGCTATTAGGCTGGCATCCTGTTCCTTGTTTTCGATGAAGAGGAAGTTTCACTGAATACAGATTATAGGCCTGTTCGATTCGCCTGAACTGGCTGAACTAGTTCAGCAGTGCAGGAACTGGTGCATTCGATTCAACCGGAAGTTGTACGGCCGCTGCACTGGCGCATTCGATTCATCCCAGTTCTGAACGAGTTCAGACCCAGTTCCTTAAAATCTTGCACCGGCTCCGGAGTCAGTTCAGCGTCCTTGCAGAAGCAGACGACAAGAGCAGACGGCGATAGCAGACGACAGTCCTCGTCCGTCTCTGCTCGCGGTGCCATTTTTCGCAGATCTTGCTCAAATGTCTGCGACGTGCAACAATAACGCCGATACGGAGGTTCCGTTTCCTCATTTATGATAATGACGTACCCGCGGTGGACGCGGAATTGAGATTATAACCGAGGGTAGGAATTTGATTATGATATTCTGAAGGCGTTTTAGGCACTTGCTCGTGTAGGTTTTGCTCCTTGTGTTGAGTGTTGAAATGTTGGCTCACGTGAATCGTTTCTTTTTGATGCTATCTGAGGATCCAAAGTGTTGATAGTCTTCCTTACAGAAACGGGAAAGGTATTGCGCTCTTGATAGTCCCCGAATTCAGTTGCTCTTGAATGCATACTGACGACTCCGATACATTGCAGATGTCTGGGATTTAGAACATTGGCCCTCGCATGCCCCGTAGCTAAGCATAATACTGCATGCTATGTCTCTGGTATCTGTGGACGCCTACTAATGAGCCTGAGAAAAACGCCGAGAATCGGAATTTGCTTGGTAGCTCCACGTAGTTCTTTCTTGAGAATCAGAATAAGCGCTTCAGCTTGACGCGAAAGTTACGGTCGATAACTGTCTTGGCCAGAACGCTATCGTCAGGCCTTCGTCTTCGAGGTGACCGCTACCGACCGCGCGCGGCCGCCAGTGAATCCCGGCGCACAATCATCCTGATGCCGCGAACCTATCGTCGAAATGCGAAACTCGAGAGACTTGGAGTGAATCTACTATTGCTAAATGAATGTGAAGGACAGATCGCTTACGGAAACGACAGGAACCGAACGACCGTTAAAAATGCAGACAGAAACACATTTGGTGCAGAAAACGTTTTTAGTACACTCGAAAAAAAAATATTCACAGAAAAGATTCGGTTATTATACTTTAAAAATAAGGAAACACGAATGATCTCATCAAATCGCGACTAATTAAATGTAGCATACAACGTGGCGTGGAGAAACAAGAGCCAACAGATGCAGACGACACCCTGCGCTTCCACTCGCAAAGCCGATCACAGCGCCAGTCCTGGCGCGGCGGCTGCAGTGGTTCTGCGCCGCCGCTGCACGACTCCTGCACTCCTCTGAACTTGGACAGAACTGGTTCAGAACTTTCTGGCCGAATCGAACAGACCTTTTGATTTGATAGAAAAAAAATTGGGTTGTGTGTCTGTTTATACAGCCTAGAACTTGGTCTGCCTCACAGGGGCAGACGATCGCGTCTCCCAGCTGTAGATGAGAAATTTAGCCAGTGCGATACAACCGCTAGCCTGGGGTCTTTAACGTGCACCACGCAGTAGTGATACACGACCGCACGCCGGTACGATGCTCATCCAGATCGACAACGGGCAGGGGTGGGGCTCGAACCCAGAATCTTTGGGTTCTGCAGCGCGAGCTTTCGCTCCACGTGCTCCGAGCGGGTGTGCGCTAGACCACTCGGCCACCGATCCCTTTTGATTTGATAGTTTAGAGCTGTGGGAGTGTATTTTTTTTTAATTTTGACTGTCGACCTGTGCGCTTGTTCGTAAAGCATTTTGGTTCATCTATCTCTGTATATATATATATATATATATATATATATATATATATATATATATATATATATATATATATATATATATATATATATATATAGTGAACGATTAGGGGAGGGAGTGATTACTGAATTTATTGCATCGTACTTGGGGAAGAGAAAAAAAGATTAAAGGTAATGCCTATATAAAAACTCGCCAAAGACAATTAAGACTGTTTACCTGTAGGAATGCGAAAGCAATCCTACACGCAGTGCGTTCTTACAAGCAGCGTGCCACGTCCTCCTTTCTCCCACGGCGCTCCGGCAGTGACATCCCGCTCCCTTACTGCGCAGGCGCGGCGAACCCCGCCGACCTCACGATGGCTTCCGGGACAGAGGGCATCTGCGTGGCTGTGCTTTTCTTTCTGTTTCATTTCTGATTTGCTGCTTGACGACGTAGTTTTATGACCATCTTTCGCGGTCAACGACGCCGGCTTTTCGCGTAATGGGACAAGTAAGGACTTAAAAAAATAGAGCTGGTGAAACTTTGGACCAGGAGCGGATATCGAACCCGCAACCTCCGCCTATCCGCGACGACAACTTGACCGATTAGAGTCATTAGACCATCCCGGCCACTGGTCTTGGCAGACTCAATTTTTGACCAGGTGCCCATGTACTGTTAGTTTCGAATTCGCTTAATTGGGGTAACGACAGCCTTTGCGGATTTAAGGCCCATGCCAGCTCCGAGTTGCGGCAGTGATGTAGCACGTCATGTCCACTCGTAAATGTCGAAAAGGGCCCGCTTTCCCGGGTATTTAAGGAGCCACTCCTTCCCATAGGGACAGGCTGCACCGTATATATTTATGGGGAGTGAGGTAAGATTGGTAACTGCAGCCGTTGTAATAATGTGGACGAATGGGAGAGAAAGTGAGCATTAAATGTACCGCATTAAACATGGGTGAAGGGAAAGGGAAAGATAGCTGGCAAAAATTGAGCCAGCAGCGAGAATCAGACGCGCAACTTTTCGCCTATCCGGGGCGACGCCGTAACCGATTGGACCATCGCGGTCACTGGCCTCGGTGGAATCAATTTTTGACCAGCTTTCGGTGTGCGGTTAACCCAATAATAATGTGTACGACAATTTTAATGTAAGGTATTCGAAACAATGGCGTGGCTGCAATTTACAAGCTCTGTTTTACGCCTAAAAATGCGTGCCTTTCCGTAGAGTCACAGAAGACTCTCCGTGGTTTAGGCGCCTTTTTCTTAAATACGAAAGCACTACAATAACGTTAATGCTCACACACGTTTTGATTCGCAGATAAATTAATCATGAAGATGTTTATGCCCTAATTATTGTAACTTTTATGCTGATCATTACTAGTGCCAGATGGTGCTTTTCCAAGAAATACCGTGTTTCGTTTACAACTTTCCAGCATTCACAATTAGAAAAGCGAACAAAACTATGCCAGTGATGTTGGGTTTAAATATGTTCTCTCTACAGAAATGCGCCCGTGTAGTTTCTGGAGTTAATGAACCTTTAAAACCATAAAATATACACGGTTAATGTTTAGGCAAAAGTGTATATTCGAGGTAGCATAAAACACAAGCAAAAACGAACGCGAGAGTGCATGCTTCGGACAAAGACAATGCAGCCAGTGAGAGTTTAAGAAACGTGGCGTATTATGTCACGCTTCGTTCTTCGGCGCTCTTATCGACCAGCAAACTCCCTGACTGCAACACGGTAATAGCATTCTCCGCCCTACCCTGCGTGTCTTAAGCTAAAAATGACGCACACGCCCTTCGTTCTCAGCATTCGCACCATGATGTTTTAACGCGCACTTGCTGCGCGGGTCGTGTCACTCACTCACCTTTCCTTCTTCCTCGACTTTCGCCTTGTCTGCGATCAAGTCGGGGCCTGCGAAGAGAGGCACTCGCAAGAGGAGTTCATGCTGTGGAGCCCCGACTTCCCGGAGCCCTATGGCCCAGACCAGAAGTGCTGGTACTACATCCGTCGAGCCAGCAGCGCCGTTTGCGGCCTCGAGCTCACCTTCTTCAACTTTGAGCTGGAAGCCAGCGACGGATGCGTGTACGACTTCCTCGACGTGGACGGGCAGAAGTTATGCGGCTCCATCACTCCGGGTGCAGTCCGTGAGTACACCACCGCACGCCGTGCGAACCCACGACGCTAGGCAATCAAAGGCATGCTCCCAGCGAGCTGGGGCAGTTTTATAATACTTAATTGCCGGTTCGCACATACAACGGAGCGCTGAATCATTGCTAAAATTAGCGGTAGTTTAGTTTCTTTCCTCACAATTTGCAGTACAGCAAAGTGGCTCGCTGCAACGTTCACGAGACACCATGACAGCGATATCTTGGCGCCGTATCTTGTTCCCTTTGGGGTCGTAGTAAGGTAGCTTCGTTCTGAGAGTGGATCGGTTGCTCGACAGTGTTCCTTGCGCACACCATCTAACAAGTTAATCTTGAATGGGAATAATTCGCTTGAATTGTAAGAACTCACTTCTGCAGCGTCTTAGGTACGATGCACAATACGGCGCCACTGGAATTACTCACCTGTACTATATTAGCCCTGCACTAAATAGTGTCCCATTAAAGTTAAGGAGCCCAATCGTAAATATTATCAGAAATTTTTATATTCTATCAAACATTTTCGATGACCCGTCTTACATTTTTAATTGCCCATGAGATCTCTTTGAAGGCCCATCACACCTTCCGGACAGCCCTAATACCTTAATGGCCAATCAAACATCTTAGAAGGTTCGACAAGCTTACTTGACGGTGTGTGAAGGACCATCTAACATTTCCTGATGGTGGCTGACGGGACCGATAAAGGCTCCCGATTGTGACTGACAAAACACCAAAAATGACCTATTGGTAGCTCACAAACCGCCAAAACGTTTCTGGTGGTGACTGACGGACCATGAAAACATTTTGATGTCACCCGGGTGACTCCACCAGAGCATCGTGATTGACCATCAAAACATTAAATAGGCTGATGGTGCTTCTCATGACATCTTTCGGTGGTGGAATGAGCCTGGCCATCTTCGGGAAGTTAAATCAGTGGCCGAAAGGGTGCTCCAAGGAAATCACGTTGTTGCGCATGCGTGACTTGCATCTGGTGTAGGAAGCTCACAGCTGTGTGACACAATAACAAATTGTAAAATTTTTAATAATTCTCCTCACAAATTGTCTTAGGGTGCTCGAAAGGCCACGAAGTCACCTTCTTATAAACCCAGGTATCTTTTTTTTTCATTATAACTAGTAACTAAATTGTGTTCTGCCTCGTTGGTGAAACGCTTTGCTGATCCTCCCAGTAAGTAAAGTAGATAATATATTTACGGTTCAAGTGGCAAAGCACGACACGAAAAAAATTGCAGAAATTCGATCTGTGAGTCATATACAGCTTCGCTGTAAAAACTGGATACATGTTCTATAGAATTCTATAGACCTTATGGACCATTCTGTATAGAAATTCTGTAGAGAGTGCCTGAACATTTTTGTTATGTGTGTCAGCCCGTTGTAAGAGGTTGTTAGTGTCAGCGGTGATTAGCACTGTAATAGCGCTGCCGGTCTAATCTTCAAGAAGGCCGTGTCACGTGCAATGGAACGCGGATATGTGATAATATTCGTAACGAGCGTGTTGTTCAGATGTACTAGATAACAGAAAGTATAGAACATAAAGAGGACGAAACACAGACGAGTACATTCTTTCAACTTACAACAGAGTTTATTCCATGAAATGCGAACGCATGATCCCCTGCGCAGACTTAGGGAAAGGGGGAAAGGGCAGCGTAGCAGCGTCCTCTTTATGTATTATACTTTCTGTTACCTAGTATAATTTATAATATAGCGTGAAGGCAGCGTTCTGTCTAAAACACCAAGTTAGTGTCGCGCTTTCTGCGTGGACAAGCCTTAAGGTTTTTGGTGGACGCTCGTTGCAGGGGTGTTCATGTTCAACAGAGACCAGCTCCTGATTCACTTCAACAGCGACAGCCAGACCAACAAACGAGGCTTCCACGTCAAGGCGAGGCAGATCACTACTTGCTATCCAGGAAGCAGTAGGTGGAGCTATAATTTCGCTTCTGCAAACTATTCGGGTTTTCTGGCGACTATTGGGCCAACATTAATTGGGCCGTGGTTCCGTGGGGTGCTTTTCATGAAATTCAGAAACCTTATCTCTCTCATAGTGGGCTTTGTAATTCCGTTCAAATGTGGTTTTCGTTTCCTTCCCTTTATTTCAGGTTCATGAATGGTGCTCTGATACAACAAATTTGTTGCGGAAATTTCGGTTATTACTTGAAAGTTGAAACTTGAAACTTGAAGAAAACTTCAATATCGAAGTGACATGAAGCTTGGATTAATTTAACATTCTAAAGAACTCGCCTTCGAATTCCTTCCTACTACAGTCAGTGAAAGCTTAAAAAAAACGCTTGTTCATTCTGTAGCCAATAGAATTGCGCCATTAGCCGATAAGAATGATGAGAAACCTATGCCGATGCGTGAACCTAACGGCGTCGCGCTCCTTCACATGTCGCTGACTCTAGCACCAGAAACTTGGGAACAGCTAAGTAGTTCAAGGATCTTCACAGCTGAGCTCAGCTCAGTTAGAGACGTTGTCTGTCCCTGTTACTTTTTATTCCACTGTAAAAAATTCTTCGTCCTTCGGCCCCAGTCCCCGGTAAAAAAGCATAATGGTAAACAGACATCGCAGCACGCAGTATTGCGCGAATATTTGCGTCAAATCGGAAAGATTGTGCCGATACCAATTTGATCCAGCCTATCTGTGTGAATTATTGGAAGGGTAGCGGGCGACGCCATCCTGACATAACGTACCCCTCGCCATTTTTGGATAAATATCGAGAGTATCATTTGTGAGTCGGCAATGCCGGCAAGGCGTTGCAATTTCCTGACTACCTCAAAACCGACGTCGAACAAAAAATTACGCAAAACGGTATATGTATACTTTTAGACTTACAAAGACAGACAAAGAGGCAGAGGGAGATTAGCTGCATCGTATATCCTTTCGACCTCTCGTTCTGTTAAAGGGGTACTCTGGCGATTTTTTTAGCTATCTCAACTAAGTATATTTGCTGACTCCCCGGCCTTTACCCTTTCCGGTATGCTATTTAGTATTACGAAATTCATAATAGTTATTGCGAAATCGGCAAATGCAAATGATGCAAAAACCAACATTCAAATATACCCGCACTTTTCAGTGCTGTGACGTGAGTGGCGGGCAGGCTTGCCAGTCGAGCAAGCAGTCTAAAAAATAGAATATGCCAATCACTTGTTCCGTGCTGGAGCGCGGGGACTGGAGCGAGCTTCCAAAGTATTCCTTTGACACCGCGAAACTGCTTCCAATCAGTTGGGGACACATTTTACAGTCCAAAGAGTGAACCTCTGCCTTCCACTGACGTCACTTTTTTGTTGTTGCCAGAAGATACTTTCAGTTTGAAAAACACGGTGAGGACCAAAATTGTAAATTCAATAACTTCGTGAAAAAAAAAATATTTTAACCTAATATTTGGGATACTATTTTGCGATGTCGTTTGGCGAGTTTAACAAAATTTCAAGCAAATCGGGGACCATGAAGAAATCGCCGAGCGCGACTACCGCTTCGAGCAAATCAGAAGGGTGGAGCGAAACAGGTGACCGCTCTCCGCAGGACAACAGCGCTTAGACCAAAACTTGTCACGTGACTCGCTCTGGCGCGCTGATGGATTCACTGGGGCCGTAGTCTTCGCCGTTTGCCAAGATATGGTGATGGGTAGGGGGCCATGTAGGTCCGGCTTTCCAAATGCGCTCTACAGTGTTTGCTGCTTTTCGTGCATTACATCGCGGCCGTCGTTTTGCGCCGTGAACAGCCGGAACTCGCCATTGCCAACTATTCGGTAATGGCCGTTTGGTTCGTCGGAGTCCATGCGATTATTGTACTGTGTTTGTTGGGCATAATTCGACAGAGAACATCTCTTCCGTGACAGTGAGGCTTCCGTTGAATGAGGGCGATTTTCTTCTTTCTGTACTTTGTGTTCGCGTTGCTTTGTGCTGCACGCGACGAATTATGCACGTATCACGAATTACATGATATCGCGGTTAAATTGTAAGTACACTGCAGGCATGCTTGTGATAGTTGCTTTGTTTCCGTCACAATAGGAAGTTTCAGTTAATCGTTCCGACACCTCCGATACTCCCGATAACAAAGAGTTTTCGTAGACCGTTTTCACCGTCCCGTAACGCTCTCCGAAACCCGCTAGGATATCCGGAACTCTACAGCCAAGGCCATCGGCGCGCAGGCGCAGTAGCGGCTTCTTCGTTGCGGAGAGCTTAGCGGAGGAGGAAACGAAAACTCTCTAACGATACGATGTAGGCACAAAGGCGGCGGGGGAGTATCAGGTATCGTTATCAGAGGCATCGGATGGATTAACTAAACCTTCCCAATCTCTACGGTCCTCCGCGTTTGATTTAAGTTTTGCTTGGCGCGAAAATAGTTTAATACTATTTAATCATTTTCCTTCCGTTCCGCAGAGAAGAATCGATCACTTTTGTAAAAGTGCCGAGAACAAGCTATGTGTAATAATAGTGGCTTCATTAACTCGTGGGAGCGATCAAAAACAATTCCGTTTGTCTGTGTATGCGTACGTAGTGCGCTCTTATAGGCAGTTGACGTGCGAACCAATACTGCCGATATTTCTGCACCAAGCGGGCGTATGAGTGACGTCCGGCCGATTCAGAGCTGACGCATATGCTACATCTGGCTGCTACCTGGCGGACAGTCCGATTTGGGCAGTAGTCACACGATATCCCTCCGACACCAGGCCGTTGGCGAAACAGCGGTACGCCCACGCCTGTCCGATGTAGAGATCTGGTGCAAAACTGTACATTCGCCCAATATTGGGACCAATGTTTGGCCAGTACAGGAACGACACTGTCCAAGTATCGCCTTTCTGTGCTTGTAATGTCATGTATAAAAAAAAAAAAGAAGGAAAAAAAAAAAAAAAACATATCAGGAGATTCAGGTCATTCGAAGACGGTTAAGAGACCTATTGCAACTTCGTGCCTGGAGTCTGAATGCTGAAGTCTTGTGACCACCAGGCGGATACTAGTATTAAATATCTGATTTCTAGGCTGGAATTGGCTGGCTTCCCGTTTTCGGTCTTAATTTCTGTGGCGGAGACCGCTCCACAAAAATTGAAGTGCTTGAAAAGAAAGGTCCCAACGTGGCAGAGAACAAAAAGACCAGAAGTTATTCCGTACATCCACAAGGTTGCCCACAATCTGAAGAAAGTTGCAAGCAAGTACGATGTTCCCGTTGTGTTCTCTGCCCCAAAGAAGTTGGCTGGGTTGTGCTCCTGCATTCCTGATAAGAAGGCGAAAATGCCATGTTATAAAAAACACGTCACCCCTTACGTGGACTGCACAGTGGGTGTGGTCCACGAAAACCCACCGAGTTGTGGTAAGGCATACGTCGGCCAGACGGGGCGGTGCATCAATCACCGAGCACGGGACCACAGATTATCAGTAAGATATAAATATGGCTCGGATTCGCCTATACATTGCAACACGTGTGGCTGTGTTCCGCAGCTTCAGCAGATAAGGATTCTGGGTAGAAGCCGTAAGACGGTGGATCGCGAGCTATTGGAAGTATTCTTTATAAAAAAAAAGTGGGACGGCATGTGTCAGCGACAGTTCTATTGTACTTCATAGTCATGAGTTTCAGTTCTTGAATGATGGGGTACAAATTTAGTCAACTTTTATGTGGTGCTGCTTCGCCTGTCGTGTGTATATATATGCTTGCTTTTCCTGAGTAAGGCTATACTCCGTTTCATACATAGCGTGGAACACAGTCAAAACTAGCGCACCGGTTTGCACTGCCGACCGCCTGCTTTTTCCCCATATTATAGTGCTGCCCCTGCAAAAAAAAAAAAAACCAAAGAAAGTCGAAAAATGTGCATCTTCGGAGTTAGTAACTGATAGTGGCGTTGTGATTTCGACGGAACACCGATTTTTTTTTAATATGAAAAATATTGCAAACTACTGTAAATTGTTTTCCGTTTTCGTCCGTGCGGCAGCCGCTTCGGATTCTCGGGTTGTGCGGCTGCCCCTGCCTCGCCGGTTTTGAAAGATGGCGTCTTACGCAAGAAGCTTTCCCCTCCTGCTCGGATATTTTCGAAGATTCGTTCTGCGAAGATCTCGAAAGAGTGCAAGCAGGTGATCGCCAACATGTACGCGAGTTCGAGAACGCGTTTCCCAGAGACGTCGGTCCGTGAAGTCCTGGAGACGGTCAGTATAGACCCTTTCAGGCAACATTTCATGGGCGCCGCCATCTTGCCGTCACGTGACCCTGCCGTCATAGCCGCCCTTCAGTTTCTCGCCGTTCCTCCGCGTTGTGTGCTGCACCGGCCACTACCGGAGCTTTGTTTTCGCGTTCTTTTACCTTCCGCGTTGAAATCGTGTGTTTTCTTTAGTCCTTTTCGATATTTCGGGCTTTCATTTAATCATTTGATATCTATATTTCAATATAGCTCTTGTATTTTCTTATTTATGAAATGGAATCGGACAGTGAATGGATCGACGATACTAGATTATGGCTTCAGAGACGATGTAAGTTCATCCCATTCTAACGTTTTTCTCGCTAATAAAGGGCAGTCAACACCATTGCGACATATGCAAATTTCAACTGACGCAGTAAGGCTATTGCAGTCGTGCATCCCGCTGCATGTGGGCGCTCGTTTCCGTAAAGCCGACCCGCATGTAAGCGATTTAGAGTGCGACGAGAGGAGCGACGGCGACAACGACGAGAGTCAGCGACGAAGATTTCTCACTGTCGCCTTTTGCATCGCTCGGTTTTTTTTGGTTTCTAGGAAACGTCACTCACCGTCTTGGTCGCTTGCTCCCGTCGCTTCCATGCGGTTTGCCTCGTCGCGCGACTGCCCGAGCGATAGCGAAGCGGGTCACCGTCGCGTGTCTCGTTGCTCGCCGAATCGCTTGCATGCGGTTATCGAGGCGCCAATGGTTCAATGCTGTGTGCATGGAAATTAATTGAGTATAAACCGCATGTAAGTGATTTGGTGAGCGACCAGATAAGCGACGGTGACCCGCTTCGCTGTCGCTCAGTCAGTCGCGCGATGAGGCAAACCTGGAAGCGACGGAGCAAGCGACCAAGACGGTGAGCGACGTTTTCTAGAAATCCCAAAACCGAGCAATGCGACGGGAGACAGTGAGAAATCTCTGTCGCTCGTCTCGTCGCACGCTAAATCGCTTACAAGCGGGTCGGCTTTACGGAAACGAGCGCGCTCATGCAGCGAGAAGTACGACTGTGATAGCCTTACTGCGTCAGTTGCAATTTACATATGTCGCAGAAGTGTTGACTGCCCTTTATTAGCGACCAAAACGCAAGAATGGGATGAACTTACATGGTCATTGAAGCCTGATAATCTTGTATCGTCGACACATTCGCTGCCCGATTCCATTCCATAAATAAGAAAATACAAGAGCTATGTCGAAATATAAATATCAAATGATTAAATGAAAGTCCTAAATGTCAAAAAAACCTAAAGAAAATACAAGATTTTAATGCGGAACGTAAATGAACATGAAAACGAAGCTCTGGTAGTCGCCTGTGTAGCACACAACGCGGAGCAACGGCGAGAAACTGAAGGTCGGCTATGGCGGCCCGGAAGGCGCGCGAAGGGCGCGCCGACTGGTGGCAGCTCGAGTAACTGACTCGCTGAAAGCGTCTATAACGACACCGGAGTGTGGGCCCGTACTGTCGCGAAGTACAATGCGCAGCGTCTATCTGGCAAGGTGGCGTCCCTGAAGCGAATACCTCGCAACATCAAAGTTTCCAGCACGCGGACCGTGTTCTGGACTGCCTTCTGTTATGTCTGGCGTTAAAATCGGTCGCATGGTTTCAAAGTGAAACAAGCCTCAAGAAGGAACCGTGTCGGGGATGAATCGTTTCTACGGCTCCGTCTGCTTGCGGGACCTTTAACTTTGGTTGGCTAGGTGGACGATGCCCGTGGCTGCATTCCGACGCGTCTGGTTTCTTCTGCCTGCGGGAACGCAACCTTGGTCGGCCCCGTCTGCCTGAGGCACCTTAAACTTGGTCTGCTAAGTGAGCGACGCACATGCCCGTAACTGTATTCCGAGGCCCCTGCATTCCTCGAAAAGGAAACAACACTCGATCCTGACCTCGAGTGCCGTGTGTTGTGTACGCGTCTATTGTGAATCACCCTCGGTTCATAGAGGCGCCGGCACCAGAGCAGCGCGATACTGCCGTCTGGATGACTGCCTTACACCGGCGAGTATTCCGACTCTGAAGGAAACTTTTATGAAATCACATCGCGCGAGGTAAGGCCAAGCCGTCTGACCAATAACGGTGCGGTCCCCTTCTCCCAGTATTCGTTATATAAAGGCCCGTCCACCACTTTCTCGAGGTACTCTCTGACTTTCACGCTACCATGTAAAGAAACGGCTTGAAGTACAGACGCCCTGGATCTCGACCGTTCTTCCGTTTTGACGAGGCCGGCGCGGGGTTCAAGCAGAAAACCAGCCCTTACGACCTTGTAAATAAAAAAAAAAAAAATTTAAATATGCACTTCCGCAATGCGCACATTCTTGCAGAAAAATACGTATAAAAAATATTTCCGCTTTAGGTGGATTCGAACCACCGCCACCGAGACGTCGGTATCGCCAGAGCTGCGCCTTGTAGCGCTTGTCCACGAAACACGCGGAGTGACACTTTTTTTTTGTATTTTCATGCGCACTACTTCACTACCTTTCCCAGCGTTGCACGCTATGTATGAAACGGAGTATAGCTGCAAGTTAGCGCTTGTCCAGTACACCTCTTGTCCTTGTCTTTTTTGCGCTATTTTATATGTTTAAGTAGGAGCTTGTAACTTTCAAAATGTAGTAAAACTAAGACCTCCGAAGTAAAGTAAATTTTTATACAAAACAGTACCTTCAATCGTTCCCATGTATTCTTAACCGCCTAATTAAATATGCAACAACTTACATGTTTTGTGATGTGGAAGCTAACATAAAACAAATTAATGCAGAAATTTACGAAAAAATATTTTAAATTAATTAGAACATATTGCTTATCCTATTTTGGAGCGGTAAAAATGTTATGCATTTAAGAGCTATTTTCCAGGGACGCCCTTTAATGCAAGTTGTGTCAGTATGTCATTCCTAAAGGGTAACTCCTGTACATGTTCTCGATTTTAGGGTTACGACTGTTTTTTTTTTTTTTTGTGAAGAAAGTGTCCTTTAATTAGGAGGTACCAATATTTTTAGAAGCTTTTGTGTAGATATCTTACGCGATGTTGTATTTCGGGGTCAACGGTGAAACCGAAACTACCGGCTCGATCATGATTACAACCCTTGCGATCAGTGCATGGCCATCGTGTGACCCAAAGTTAGTACCGCGGTAGCTCGAAACGTACTAATGGCCTAGTCGCAAGACCAGTTCCTATGAGTGAGGTAAGATTCTACGACTGTTTTACGGCTTTGCTTTGTAGATATCAAACATCTGTAAGAATTATTAATACACATTTATGAACGACAAGCGAGTTCGCCACGATGAAGGGTGGCTCAGCGCAGGTTCAGAACGAGCCCCCATCTCTTATCCTATAAAAACTACAATATTGTTGGTGTGACATGCGCGTTGCAGAAGCGTTGTGGGAGCTAATCGCCAGCTCGCCCTGAGCAGGAACTGACTGAACTATGGCCGCCAGTCTTGAGCAATTCGTGATCGCTGAGGAGCACTTACAAACTACGGCCGCAAAAACCACATAAGGAGAAATCATCCGGTGGGATGGCTGAAAACATAGCAGAAGAACAGGGTAAAAGAAATGACATTACAAACAAGTAATCTAATTGAGTACGAACATGACGACATCGGGGAACAAGGTTGCTTGAGAAACAGCCAACCCGCTGAATGTTCTCTCAAAAACTGGTGGTGGCATGTTTTATCGTATTGATCGTGGTTTCCTTCAGAGTAATATTTTGGCATTGCGCGTATTTAGTTTCTGTATATCAATATCACTCATTTATTTTAGTTCATCTCTTGACTAGACTTACCTTTTCAAAATCCAGTGCGTCCTCTTTCATGCAAATCACGCGGGAGATGCAACTGTTGCAATCTACGGAGAGAGTTCGGTGAATGACGTCGCTGAAAATATGTTTACATCTTAAAACTGCGCTTTGGCAATGAACATAAATTTTCACGTGCTGAGTGGAGCAGCACAGACTGTTTGTCTGAACATACTTCTCGTCCTTCACCAATTCCGTAGATTACAGCGATTGGGTTTTTCTGAGTGTCATGAGGGGACTAGAAGCTCCCGATTTTCTAGAGTGCAGGACGTGCCAGTGTGGTTCACTATCCGTTCGAGTCTCGATTAGACAGCGAGCTGCGTGTCGTTGTTGGTCACGCAGTGTTGCCCGCCCCGCCCCTTTGCGACGTTTGCACGGACAGGGTGAGTGACGACATCACGAGCTACGGCTTCCCGACGGCGTACCGGGGGAACATGCTGTGCCGCATGACCATCACCAGACCCTCTGACGCCTTCTGTTTCGTGGAGATGGACTTCAACGAGTTCGACGTCGAGAAGTCGTCTCGCTGTGACCGTGACTTTCTGCAGATCGACCGAGATCGGTACTGCGGCACAATGCTCAAGGGACACCGCAGTGAGTACAGCCATTTGTTTTGTAAATGGGGAGCTGGCAATAGGGTTTCAATGCTAGCTTAGCTTTCTGGCACAAGAAGCTCTACGGATCACTGTGCGACTTGGATACCTCCATAAATAACACATATTCTACTTGTTTCCTTTTTCTTTCATGTTTTACTTGACTTGCCGGCCGCTTGCACTAACGGAAAGGTAACAACAACGCAGTGTTAGGTAGCGTCACTTCCTGTGGTCACTGTACAAACAATCAAATACGGTTTCTTGACCAAGACCCCGATGCAACGCTACTTCCGGTTCGGAAATCTCTCAGGAACCCGCCGGAATCCACATTGGAGACATTCGTCCCTGTAATACCGTCGTGTGTGCTTTGGGGCCGCGTTCCCGCTGTAGATTGTCCGCTCACTCGAGGATTAAATGGTCAGTTACCCCGTAATAAATTGTTCCAGCCGTAAAAGTAGGACAGAGTAAAGCTGCAGGCAGCATTGTTGTTTTTTTTTTTTTTTTTTTAGAATTTTGGTAATAATTAGGAACCAGGAAAAGGCTACGCTCGATCAATCGGTTCGCCAACTTATGAATGGTTCCTTCGGATAGGCCGGATCAATCTCGACAGAAGAGCTTCGTACCAGCTAAGGGTTTGTGGATTGCGCATCGAATAAGATGAGGAAACTCCTTGCGCAGAAACGTGGCATCTGCATCGCTTCCGCTGTAGCACCGGTACTGTGTGACATTTTCCTTGCAAATTGTGACAAGCGCATATCTGAAAAAATTCAACAGAAGGAACATGTTAAAATTTTTCGTTACGTAGACGATTATTTGGCGTGTGTTTCCCCCCTGTAATTGCGGATGATCAAGCGATCGCCCGTTTTTTAAAACTGTTCGCAAGCTGCGCTTTCGGCTTAAAATTCACCCACGAGACATCGGTCTGGGGTCTGCTGCAGTTTTTGGATCTTGGATTATATTTCGGTGCGGAGCGTACCTGCTGAGCGTATGAGCCCCGTTCCAAGAAAGGAATGTTGCCATTCAGCTCGGCGCACTCCAAGTTAGTGAAGAGGGCATTGCTTCATCTTGTCTAAGGGCCGCGCTAAAGAAATCGTGCCCCTACCGGATGCAAAACAGTTTTCATTCTCAACTCAGCGAACTTGAAGAGGCAGGGTACCCCCGTCATGTTCTTCGAGATGTCTCAGAGACCTTAGCAAAAACGATGAAAAAAGACAACAGCGCAGTGTGCGAAAGGGCTCCCAAGACGGTAGGTAGGCCTGTTGTCTTGCCTTACATTCACAAGATGTTCCACAATCTGAAGAAGGTGGCCCATCGCTTTGACATATCAGTCGTTTTTTCAGCACCGAATAAACTATCTTCACTGTGTAAGAGCAGATTAGGAGAGGAATCGGATGTGCCACAAGAGTCGTGCAAAAAAAAAAAGAAAGCCGTTTACAACTCCCTGTAACGCAGAATTAGAGCGCAGCTCTTGAGGAGGAGGAGGGAAGGGCACTGGGGGGGTGGGACAAGTGACCTCGGGTGGCGGGGGGTCACGTGGCAATGCTGATGACGTCATCAGTGATGATGACGATGACGATGCGGATGCCGGTGAGGTCACTAATGACGTCATCAGTGATGATGACGATGACGATGCGGATGCCAGTGACGTCATCCGTGATGTCACTGATGACGTCATCAGTGGCGATTGCGTCAACGGGGGTCACGTGACCTCGGGGGGGGGTCACGTGACCTTGGCAAGGGGGTCACGTGACCGGGGTAATCATCGTGACTCTCGTGAGGGTAACCCTAGTAACCCTCGTGAGGGTAACTCTCGTGACCCTCGTGAGGGTAACTCTCATAACCCTCGTGAGGGTAACTCTCTTAACTTTCGTGACCCTCGTGAAAGTAACCCTTTTGAGAGTAACTAACCCTCGTAACCCTCGTGAGAGTAACCCTCGTAACCCTCGTAACCCTCACGAGGGTTACGAGGGTTACTCGCGGTTACGCCGACGCCGACGGCGACGCCGCTCAAGCCAGGAACGGGCGCCTAAGAGCTGCGCTCTAAAACGACATGTCACTAAGTTCCGCGAGTGCGCCACTAGTGTCACGTACGAAATCCCCCTGTCATGTGGTAAGGTGACGTTGGCCAGACGGGGAGATGCATTAATGATAGGGTCAGAGAGCATGCGTTGGCGATCAGGCAGTCACCGTCTGGCCACTTAGCGGTCCACTGAGACCGTTGCGATTGCGGGCCCAACTCTGAAAAGTGCAGCCCCATCTTTGGTGACACCTGTGTCATGGGCCGTTACAAAACAAAAACGGCAAGAGAAATTCAATAAGCCTTCCTGATTAGGTCCCACCACGACAGTAGTTGTATAAGCGCTCCCTCTTTGTCGTTGACTGATTAAGAATTCTACTATTTGAAGAACCAATGACGCTGGCATTTGAGGGGTGTGTGTTTTTAGACCATATCTTTGGTGTTCTGTCAAGTGTACCTGCTTTTATATTTTATTTTATTTAAATTCTGTCATCCAAATAAACAATTCAGTTGAAAGTTACGCCCCGTCCTGTCTAGTTCTCTCTTCGTTTTTTGTCCCTGTTGTTTTGGCGTATTACACCATGAAACTTCTTGCGAATGACTAGGCCAAGTAGCGGAGCCGAACTTACTTGTGCGGAAGCTCCAGTCTTCATCTGTGTAGCCAGTTAAAACGTTGAAGGGCCATCTATAGTGCTGATAAGTTCTGCACAATATCCCCCAAAGATTCCACGTATAGGTAACGACACTAAATTTGTTTTCAGTGACCGCAAGTGATTAGCAGCGACGCATATTCTTTTTTTTTTTTTTTGCCGTCTGATGGCACTTTTGCGAGGCGTGCACATTTCAGTGTCGTCCGAGAATGCGAAACAGTATTAATGTTTATTTTCTCCTGTGTTTATTCGGCTGCTGGCCAGCGATTTGTATGAAATAAAACGCGAGTGATGCAAACGCTCGGGATCGACGGCACTACTCCTGCCGTAATAAGACGCCGAATGTCTCCAAGATGGGGAACGCACAGATGGCAGACGACAATGTTGGTTTCGATTTCGAAGTTAATTGAAAGTGACGTCAGGTGCAAGAAGCCTATTTAACGAAAGGGGTAGTAACACTCAATGTAATATTATAAAAAATATATGTGAAATAAACCGGCACCGCACCTGCAGTTTTTATCACGCGAAAGTAAACACTGAACACTTGAGCACTTTTGGTAAGGTACCACAGTTCTTTGTGCCAAAATTTGGTTTTGTTTAGAAATTGAGGGCCTTAAAAACACGAAAAACTCGGAAATAGCCAAATTTGACCTTCTTAGGCTAGAATTTGGGTACACTGGCCCTAATTCGTAGTACAAGTGCCAACACTGGGCTTCGTTCCTGGTAGTGTGGCTGCCATCTGGTATCTTTAGGCCAAAGTCGCAAAACATGTTACACTACATCTCTGGTTGTCGGGTTCAAAATGGCAACGTTGCGCGTAAATTGCCAAACAAGGACCGTATTTAGGCTCCGCTACAGCGTCTTTAATTTATATCTGGTATGTTTTGATTAAAGTCGGGCACTTTTGCAATTATATGGCGATTAGATACGCCAAAACAATGCGCTCGAGCACTCATTATTAACGCTCTGGAGCAACACTGTATTACAAAACAAGTTAGGCCCCTGGAATTGCCAGGCTTTTGCCAAGTTAGGCTTTTTTCTGGCGTCCTTCCTGGGGTAAGGTTAAAGGTTAAAACAAATCTCGCGAATTCATCGTGGAAAGTCGCGTGGTGTGAATAATACAAATGATTTTTTTCTAGCATACGTCTTCGTTGAAATGTGACCATATGCGGAGAAATATATTTTTATTAGCTCTTTAGAATGGTTCAACGATTCCGCAGCATTGCGTGGAAAGTAGCTATATACTTAACAATATTCTCGTGGCAGAAAACTTCGCACACTCTTTTACTGTGTTTTTTTAATTTTGTCGCTTAGTGTGAGCTGCAACATAGCCGCTGATTGTCATTCCGCTCCTGCCGTAGGTTAACTGGAGGAACAACATTAGGTGCGTAACTCTTCTTCGCGTGGCCAAGCGTGGCAGGCTAGGTGAATAAGTCTTTGTAATATATGTATTCCGGTTTGCTAAGGCATTGTTTCCATATTGCCATGTAGCAGTTTCATAGAGTGTAAATCTCTGTAGAGTCCCTCCCCGATCCCATCTAGTGGATTAGCACCAAACGTTTTGTTACATTCTTGCAATGCAGTCGATCTAAAGTGCTTAAGAGACCGTGGAGTATACAGCTGACGACACAACACAGTTTTGTAAGTTGAATTCTGCGTCAACGCTGTGTACAAGCTGGTATTTTAAATGAGATACATATTTTTAGGCGCAGAGCTGTCTAGTGCCTAAGCACCATATTTCGCAGGAAAACAAATCGTATACCCCGTAATACTATGCTATTTAACGAATAATAACACTGTCCTCTTAAGAAGCTGAAGAACACTATGTACTGTAAAACCATTGATTTTTGTGGCCCCTATATTTCGCGAGTCGGTTAAAGAGGCACTAATCGCGGCCACTAAATTTAGCAAATTCGAGACGCCTGATTTGAAACACTTAAGGACCGAAATTTTCGCGTCATCTTAAATTTCGCGAATTTTTCAATTCGCGAAATTTAAAGGCTCGCGAACAATGAGGGTTTTACTGTATCTGGACAGGCGGCTCACATTTTCATACCGACCTTGACTTACCGAGTGCTGCTGAAGGAAAACGAAACAGCTTGGGTTATGTCTCCCCTCAGAACAAATGGCGTACGATACCGATGGGAACGCCGTGATGGTCTTCAAGACCGACGAGTCCGTGGCGGGAAAGGGCTTCCGCGTCAGGTTTCATCAGGTGCCCTGCGCTGGAGCACACCGGGAGACCACTACAGCTATGACGGCAGGTAAACCAAGATTATTCCCTTTTTATACGGTATTTATAATGGCCAATGTATGAAGCACATCTATTATTCTCGTGCGCTCCTTAAAAGTGATTTGCACGTTTGGCGTTACTAATAATTTTTCTTCGCTCTTCTTTAAATTATTACAATAATTGCGGTAGTCAATTGCAAACAGACAGGGAACGAGGCCGTCCCGGAAACGTGGAGAAACTTATTTTAGCATTTGCTAAGCCTGGATGTGGTTCATGCTGCACAATATCACCTAAACAGATAAACATTCATTTGGGCTGAAAGAATTTACGCAGTAAAGTGCAGGCTCGAGTCCCTTCCACAACCTTAAAGTCGGGGTCACACTGCTCATACATCTTACAAAATATAGGCTGCGAAATACAATCACCGCAATATTCGTGTTTTGAATGCCGTGTGCCAGTTATTTCTCCTTGAACGCATGGCCATGCGGCATTCAAAGCACGAATCTCGACGTGGCTCGCGTTCGAATCTGTATGCAGATTGTCCTTTTTACGTTGCATAAGAAGCGTGACGCAGGGCTTATAAAACCTGTTCTGAAGACAGAAACGTTACCCATATGAAAACACTTTATAGGATAATTCATAACTTTATAATGAGTTTAATAAAAGCGTGATCAGCGCTTTTTAAGTAGTTGAAAGGACACTAGCATTGAGTACTCACCTCTCAAGGACGAGTGTATGCCTCACTGATATGGATGACAACTGAATGATACGTTAAAAACAGGAATTGCAGCCAGTCATGAAAGTAATATGGACTCCTCAAGAAAACTAAAAAAACAGATAAACACCACGAGAAGTCAAGGAGCGCCAGAGTTACAAACTCACGTCAATATAAAACTGCTTCGAGAGAACTAGAAGACAAATAATACGGATTTTACTATTATAAGTACTATTTTATTACTAAAGCTACGAAGCCTTGCGACAGTCTTTCTAGTTGCCTGAGCAAGCTTCTACGACGGAACACAGTAGACTCACTGTCCGTCAAACGCCTCGCAGGCTTCACGCCGGGTCCCCCGGCGGCGGCGACGCTCCAGTGCGACCAAACTTTTGAGCAGCAGGAGTTCTACATCCAGAGTCCCAACTACCCGTCCAACTACCAGGACAACCAGGACTGCCATTACGCTGTGCACCGGGCGGGCAGCGACGTGTGTCATCTAGAGCTCGTGTTTGCCTCCTTCGACGTCGAGTCCTCTCCCGGCTGCCAATTCGACTACCTCGAGTTTGGTGGAGAGCGTCACTGCGGAACCCTGCCTTCCGACCACTCCTGTGAGATTTCGTTAGCAATGGAAATCCTCATCCGCCGTGTCTTTTCACATAATTAACATAACAAAAAAAAAAAAATAACAAAAAAACCCAGGCATGGGCTTGGTTTTGTTTACTGATAATTTTGTCGGGACGAACGGGCATCACAGCTGTAGGCGACGTTATTTGCAGGTAGATAAGCTCCGATTAGCGAATCTTATTTTACAATTATGCGGGATATGGGGGTATAGATTTAAGTGTCACAGATGGCTGTAGACTCGGAGGACGCTGTTTGGGATCGCGAATTTCGGATCAGTGTCGACTCACCGGGGAGCATTTTCTTTCTGTGATCACTAGTGCGGTCTGCACTTCTCCATATTGGTTTCAAAACTGTGAACGTAAAAATTCTAACCTCTTGGTTTGATACATAATGCTCGAACGACTATGGTGTCTAGTACTCTCAGGCTTTTTATGTAACATCATTGGTCCCATGAGTCGTTTAAAGAGGTTGGTCTATGTAGTCAGGCGTGACGCCTGACTACTGCAATGAAATCCATTCTCTAATTTAACTCAAAGCTTGGTGCTGACCGAGTAACCTTTCAAGAGGTTCTCAGAGAATAGATTACGTTGATATATAAAAAAATATGTCTTAAAGGGCGCGTAAAAGCATTCACATTTATGCGATACAAATAATAATCTATTGACAATATTTATAAACGCATTACAGACATAGTGCCCTTTGAAGTGGCAGAGAAGATGCTGCACTTTCATTCGAACGGCGCCAACACCCGACGTGGGTTCTCCGTCCGGGGGCGCCAGATAAAGTGCGGCCTCGGAGTCGACCATCAATCATATCCCGGAGACCAGAAGTCCCAAGTGCACGGCGTCAACCAACTGACCACTCCGAGCATCTTGACGACCACGAACCTTCCGCCGTCAACGCGGAAGTCCTGTGACTTGTACATGGATAAGGCAGGTGATTTTGCTTGATTTACGCTTATCTACAGAGCGTGTTTTGAAGACATTTTCCCCCAAAAAGCATGTGGAAAAATGTAGGGTATATAGTCCGCACCTGGCGAATAGATAGCACACTCTGCAGTCAGAGCCCGCACCGGGGCGTCTAGTCCGCACCTAAAAATTATCATAAACAACCAATGTTGGCTAATGCCTACACGAACAAGCCGGTATTATACATTGGGTGGTTTCGTCTCAAATCGGGCAGGCTAAAAGGGTCTAATTTTAATGTTGACAAAAAAATATATGTTTTTGGAGAATTCCTTTTATGAAGGAGGGCGCAAACCACATGTGTCCCAGATTTTTTGTTCTCGAGTTACGAAGCGCAGAAGCCGCAGTGGCAGAAACTATAGTGTTTTTGCCCGCCGTCGCAGGTCGCGTGTTTGACAGCCTCTGCTGGCGCTAGTGTTTTTTCTATACCTTTATAACTTTCCCCCTCATTTAATATGTACTATAAAGACACCTTTACGTATGCAAACCTTTTTAGAAATTGTATTGTTTTCTAAGAAAAAATGTCAAACTCGTCACCCAGGTCGATTTTTGGTCAACTTTGACAGGTCATTACTTTGTCTGCACTAAAGGTAAAGTGTTCTTCTTCAGCTTTATAGAAAGCCCAAAGCAAGCCCATTATAGATATATAACATCATTATGATCTATTGAATAGCCGCTCCTCTACCTTCACAGAAAAGTTGTAAGAAATAACAAATGTTAAAAGTTTGAGATCGTTTTTCTCAAAAACCTCATCTTTGTGATTTTTAATTTTTTAAATTCTTTTACATATGCAAGCCAACTACAAGAAAAAAACAATCTAGAAATGTAATATTTTGGTTGTATGTCCTCTATTTGACCCGCAATAGAGTACATATGACCAAAATACTACATTTTTAGATTGTTTTTTTTTGTAGTCAACTAATATATCTAAAACAAATTAAAAAAAATTGAATTTACCAAAATTGTTTTTTTGTGAAAATCGACCTCAAACTTTACAAACAAACCTCAAACCGGCATTGTGCGCCTCTACTATGTGGAAAATATGTTTTTAGTTTGGTTTACGTTAAAAAAAAAAAAAAAAAACGTAAAGTAGGCGAAATGGTAATATTCATTGTAATTTCAAACTTGAAATAAGAAAAAAACCACATAATCACACTACGAAACAATTAGTTATAAGTATATACAAATCAAAAGCCGACGCAACATGAAAAAAAAATTGTTTCTATATAGAACGGTTCAAAGTAAACGAGGGTGACTACTCATTGTACAGCTAATTACGATTGAATGATAAATTCTCACACCATTCAAATCTGTACATAAATCTTCTGGAATTTCTCTAACGAGTTTTAAAACTGGACAAAAAAAAACATTCCAAACTTCATCAGACGCGCCCAGCGAAGAGCCACATGGCTCGAGAAAGCGCATGTCAAGTCAACGTCCCGTCATCTTGCACTTCAATTTAGCTGAACATTAGAGTGCCGTGATCCAGCGCGCGGTGCAAGGACACACTGGAAGAGCAAGTTGGTTTCCATTTTTACCTGCCTGGCTACATAGTGAGCGACGACATCGCCCAAGACTCGTCCCATGCGCTCTTTTGCGGTCAACGTTGTCGCAGGGCGGCTGGAGGAACTATTGCCAATTTTCACGCAACTCATTTATATTTCACAGGGTGCTCCAAGCCACTTCAAAAGCAGGCACCAGGTGTACGAATTAAAAAAAAAAAAGGAATGTCGTCGCTAAGTGAATATTTTCCGCATCAGGGCACGAGAGAAGCTCGCGTAATAGAGTGGGCGGCGTGCTCAAGCATCGGGCATCCATGTATAACTTGATAAGTACAGAATTGTACTCCGTAACGAACGCGCAAAGCTTCGTTGAGGCACTCAGACCGAAAGTCAAATGGATTGTTCTACTCTCAATCGCCAAAGAGAAGCTCACGCGTTTCCGGGAGCTTAAGAAAAAAAGTGGAGGAAGGTAAACCCACCAAGGGGCATCCGATCCTCGCACGTGTGGAGGAAGACACTGGAGGAAGGCGCCTTGAACGCTGCCCTAGAAAAGATCTGCGAAAGCACAGAGTAGCTGCATGCTCCTCTCATAAGGCATGCACGTTCCGCTTTGTGTCCCTAAATTTAGAAAATCATCAGTGATGCGTGCCGCATGTTCAAAACTGCAACTGCGAACTCAGTGGCTCCTACACAGTGTGCAAACTAGTAAAAAAATGTAATGACTTCGGAAAATGTTCCATCGATGCTTTTTTGTGTTTTTGTACTGGTTCTGCGCGCGCGTTTCTACATTACTGAGGTGCACGAGCTGTGCAGTCAACCGTCGGCAATCAGCAAGATGTGAGGATAACAAAACCCGGCGCATATTTCCCGAAGAGTTATGTTCAAGATTTGAATAATCTGAGAATGTATCATTCGATCGGTAATAGGCTCGGTAATGAGTAGCCACCCTCGTTTACTTTGAACCGTTCTATACAGAAACAATTTTTGTCATGTTGCGTTGCCTTTTGATTTGGTTACTCATTGTATTGTAGTGTGCTTATGTAGTTTCTCTTTTATTTAAAGTTTTATATTACAATGAATATCGCAAGTTCACCTACTTTACGTTTCTTTTTGAAAATGTGAACAAAAATCAAAACATATTTTCCAAATCGTAGAGGCTCACAATGCCGGTTCGAGGTTTGTTTGTGAAAGTTTGAAATCAATTTTCTCAAAAACCCTATTTTCGTACATTTCTATTTTTGAATTCTTTTAGATATAATAGTCGGCTACAAGAACAAACAATCTATAAATGTAATAGTTTTTTGTGTGTCCTGTATTTGAGCCGCAATCCCGTCAATTGTGTGCTCATTTTAGTCAAATAAGCACACAATTGCACACAATCACGCGATTGCGGCTCAAATAGAGGACATATACAACTAAAATATTACATTACTAGTTAGTTATTTCTTGTAGTCGAATAATATATCTAAAAGAACTTAAAAAATAAAAACGTACAAAAATGGGTTTATGAGAAAATCGATTTTACACTTTCAACATTTGTTATTTCTTACAATGTTAATGTAAAGGTATAGGAGCGGCCATTCAACATATCATAATGATATTATTATATCTATAATGGGCTTGCTTTGAGCATTTTATAGAGCCAAAGAAAGAAAATTTACCTCAAGTACAGACAAAGTAATGACCTGTCAAAATTTACCGAAAATCGACCTGAGCGACGAGTTTAACATTTTTGTTTAGAAGACAAAAAATTCCTAAAACTATTTGAATACCTTAGAGTACCTTTATAGTACTTATTAAATGAGGATAAAAAGTTAAAAGGGTGTAGAGAAAACACTAGCGCCAGCGGAGGATGCCAAACACGCGACCTGCGACGGCCGGCAAAAACACCAGTTTCTGCCACTGCGGATTCTACGCTTCGAAACTTGGGAACAAAAATCTGAGGAACATCCTGGTTGCGTCCTCCTTCATTTGAGAGATGACCCCAAAACATATATTTTTTTTTTGTCAAAATTAAAAATTCGACCCTTTTAGACTGCCCGATTTGAGGTGAAAGCACCCATTATATAAATCGCCATCATCGCACTCTGACTCTCACAAAATCTGCGAAAGAAACAGTGATTGCGCAGGCAAGCTGGTGGAAGTTGATCACGATGTAGAATTCCCGAGTCTGTGTTAAAAGGTGGGAAACTTGGTCGAAGAAAAAAGGCAGGAGTAAAGAATGTCTCAAACTCAGCTACAGCGTTTATTTCCTCAAAGCCTTATATATCAACACCCTAATCACCAACCACCGACGTCACAGAGTCCCCAAGCTTTGTTATACAATCCTACCCCCACTGGTATTCACCTCAATTGTAAACGGTGACCGCCATCTCGAACTGAAAACTTTGGACCTTGAACAAAATAAACAGAACAAAAGAAACACACCGACTCAGTTCCTTTCCAGCCGGAGTCTGGAAGGGCTGCGCTTTATCTAAACTAGAGCTGATATCTCCTCCAACTGAACCCCTGCCCGCAAAATGACTTATTCTACGTTCACTTACAACTAAAAAAAAAACAAAAAAAAAAAAAGAAAACTGAAAAAGACATTACATTTTAAGAAAATTCTTGGAACTACTTCTGAGTTGCATCGAAGCATGACTGATACAATTACCGATGGATTTGATAGAACTGTCTCTCTTATCAGCCTCTTGGTGTTGTTGCACTCTTTGTGCACAATGTCAGTTTGCGACCAAAGTGCCATACAATCGTTGAACTCACTAATATCTATTTAGCAATCTCTGAATTGGGTGCGTTTTATTTTACAGTTCTTTTGTGCTCTACCAATCTAAGATTTACGCACCTTCCCGTTTGACCCACATGCTTGAAACCGCATTCATTGGCACTTCATAGACCACGCTTCGCTTGCAATGAACCGACTTATCACGGTGCGCTTTCTTCCACATGTTCTGAATCGCCTGAAACGGTGTCAAACGGGTTAGTTTAAAGTCGGAATTAAATGCGACATCTATCCCAAAATGTTTTGCGCATGCTTTAAGGTTATGAGGAATTGCGTGAAAATAGAGAATAACCGCATAATGCTTTTTAGCTTCCCTTTCTGGTTGTTGTGTAGCGTGTTGCTGCAATTATAATTGTATTTTTATGAACATACTGTCGTAGCCCGCATCTTCTGACCTTGACCACTGCCTTTCTACCGCACAACCCATAAATTGGGCACACGACTTATCCCGTACGTTGCTGATTAGAGAACTGACTACATCTGCTTTTACTGATTGAGCATGACGAAAACGGGTTTTACGGCCATATTTCCGTACTCCCAACATAAAATCCCCACCACGCGAATGCGTAGGTACATAAACTGTAGAATACCAAAGTCCGCCTTTTCTAAGGTGAACTTAAGTTCCGGCGCCGCTCCCCTCACTGCCCTTTCGAAATCGAGTACATCCTCTTCGCTAATGAGCAGGA